GTGAGTGTAGTATTCGCAAACTATGTGACATTGTCAGAATCCGTATGATTCGAACTATCAGATTGATTCGATTTTCAATTGGTGTACAGCTATTTTGAAATTGGTAAGAGAATCCAGCGATTAATCATTGACTCGCTTCCTATGAAATTTCTTGCGCGGTTTTAATTAATAAATAATCGTATGCTCAAAGACGAATTTAATGATGGAAATCTATTTTCTATCGTTCGGAATACGAAATTTATGTTGACACAATGTTGCCGCGTACTGCAACGATAGCGTTAACATTTGATTAGCCGAAATAATTCACTCTAATGTGTAAACTCGTAATTGTAAATTGCGAATTTTCAAAAACTGCGAAATCATCGCCGGTAGACATTGTGTTAACGTCAGAGTTTTATTTAAATCGTCGTTACTGATAAAGCATCGAATATTTTGCATTTTGTGTGGCGATTCCAGGACACTATTTTCGCACTGTGCAATATCGTGACAGTGCTGATAGTCCTATGCAAGACGTGCGTACTGTACATTAAAAAAAGTCAATTCTCCGAGTTGCTCGTGTACTCGGAGAAACATTTTTGGCACACCAATTACGACGCCTGCGAGACAGTTTTGATAAAGGAGTGCAAAAGGCTGTGCATAATAATAACATGTTTATTCAATCTCTTCGCACAATCCATCTCGTTCAGCTACATATTAGAACCACTCGTCGGTAAGACAATCGACTCGATTACACATTATTTGATCAGACACAGAGCAACAACGTGACACTAAATTCTACATTTACTAATTCAATGTTTTTCATTCCTCGTAGATTATTTTGATAAGAATGTGTCGGTTCGAAAACTCCCGTTCAACATGTACATGGATTTGCTTCTGAAGCCGTACTTTTATGAGCTAACATTTTTTATTCAGGTATATTGCAAACGATTGGATCGTTGAAAACGTTTCGACCTTTGTTTTTGCTAGCTGGATGGCAATATTTGCGATACAGATAGAAATTAATATCTTGATAATACATCGACGATACTTCGAGCGAATAGAATTTTCTGCTGTTTCTCACGTTTTCGCAGACAGTAAGCTTGGCTGCGTACGGCATCGGCTACCTCTGCGTGGACAATATCATGTACATCACGAACTATCATGCTGCCGCACAGTTTCGCATATTACAGTACAGAATTTCAAACATAACGAGCCTGATCAACATTAAGAAACGCAGCGCTGCCTCAGAATCAGTACCAAACTGTACCGCAGACCGCTGTTATACCAAGTTCAAGGAGTGCATTAGGCAACACCAGAAGCTTCTCGCTTATTACCGGAAGGTGGACGAATTGTTCGCGATAATCGTGTTTGAAGAAATATTGTTGTTCAGCATAATGTTATGCCTCGATGGCTATTTAATGCTTCTGGTTAGTACGAAACACATTGTCGAAGAAAAGTGCATTTTCCTTATTTTTTCTTCAGCTTTGCAAACAAAAATGTACAATTTGGTACGATGAGATGCGATTATTCGAGCCTTGGCAATCGGCAACTATAAAAACACGCCGCAAGGCTCGAATAATTATATCTCCACTTCCCAAATGAGGGGTTCCTGGGGTCATTTGTAGCAACTTTTTCCTTAGCGAAAATGTTCTACGAGGCTTTGTTTACGAGTTATTAACGAAAAACGCTGACGAATCAAAGACGAGTTCGGTTGGCGCAAGGTAGCCGAGCCAATCAGCGAGTCTGGGCTTCGACCGCTCGTTGGCTCGACTGCCTCGCGCTAATCGATTGGTCAGTCGAGCTCGCCTCTCATTGGTCACTGTTTTTCGTTAATAACTCGTGAACGGAGCCTCGTAGAATATTTTCGCTAAGGAAACAGTTGCTTCAAATAATCTCACGAACCCCTCAGTTCTCGGAAATACCATAATTTTGGGACACTCTGCACATATGGATCGCACTTTTGTTTGCAAATTCAAAGATAAGCGGATGCTTATATCAACACAATGCACATAAATCCGACGTTGGCCCGCTTTTTCTCGAAACTTTTCAAGCTTCCGATTCTCGGTGCCCCGTAGGGTAACTCATCGCCCTACAGACGCGCGGTTTTCACGATTCATTTAGCTGGCTGCGTCTCCGAGCTGCTGATGTTCACCTACAGCTGCAATTGCGTGCTGCAGGAAAGCACGCTAGTTGCCGAGTCCTTTTACTCCATTCAGTGGCCAGTTCTGCCGATGAACAACAGCGGGAAAATGTTGAGGACCGACATGCGGCTGATCCTAATGCGGTCAAGAGTGCCTTGTTGCCTGACAGCTGGCGGATTTTTTACGGTGTCGCTGGAGACATATACGAAGGTAGCAAACATTTGAGCCGTTTATTTTGAAAGTGGCATAAGTTACTTTACCGTAATGAAAAGTGGTGATTTTTTAATGTTTGTACAAAATTATTTATACTGAGAACAATATCAGTATCCTGAGATAACAAATACAAGTAAATCTTCTCGAAAGATAGCATCCATATTTTTAAACGTGTTAAAACGCAAACCCTTAAATATATCGATTTAAAAACAAAGTGACTTATGCCACTTTCAAAATAAACGGCTCATTTATCAGTTTATATGCAACGTCAATTTTCTGCTCGTTCACGGGCACTGAATCTTTGTGATTAATGAACGAATGTATACACCGCGGACGGTTAATATTCCGAAAAAGAACTTGTTTATTACAGGTTCTGAGTACAGCAGTGTCGTACTTCACGCTTCTGAGAGAGTACTAGTTGATCCGACGAAGAGAAATTCTATTTTCTAATTGCCGTTTGAATGATGCGGACAAATGCCTTTGTATGCAACTCGCGTACTGGCATAGTATTTATGTACAGTGAGATTGTAGTTTCCAATAAAAGATATTATATTTACGCTGCTGTTGCTGGTAATTTCTATTTAAGCGACGTTTCGAGTGGCTGTAAAGTGATTCGACGCTATGATTTAAAACTACAGCAATGTCTCTCTAATTGACGCTTAGATTGTCCACGATAAATGGACAATTTAGGAAGAGGAGATACGACTATTCGATTCTTGCGGTTCATTTTTATAATTACGAATTGTCAACAACTATAAAAACGAGCTGCAAGGCTCGAACAATCGTATCTCCTCTTCCCAAATTGTCCATTTTCGTTTCCAAGCTGAGGGTCAATCGGAGAGAATTTACTGCACAGTGAATTATTAACTTAAATATTATTATATTATTATATAATATTATTAACTTAAATTTACTGTGGACAACCTGAGCGCCAATTAGAGAGACATTATTGTATTGTGATTGAAAACTACAGTGATTTAAAATTTCTACTTTGCTTCAAATTTACGCGGACAGCGCATAATTTATAATATAGAACAAATTCTTATCGTCCCACAGCAGCAAATGAATGCACATAGGTATCGAGAGAAATGTTTCACAATGCTGTGGCACTTCGAGATCCCAGCTGCTTGGAAACAAGCATGAAGACACCTTATGGAATTTTGTGCCTGACTGACGTACCGACTGGATTAGTTATTTCATTGTTAAATTATTTGTTTATAAGCGTATACTGCTTACAATAATTTCGTTTCTTGGATACTTTGGATTCTTTGGATACTTTGCCTGCCGAGATTTGTTATTAAAAATAAATAATGAAGCTCGAGATATCGAATAGCTTTTATTGCACGATTATGTTTTAAATTACTTTGGATTCTTTGGATACTTTGCCTGCTGATTTGTTATTAAAAATAAATAATGAAGCTCGAGATATCGGATAGCTTTTATTGCACGATTATGTTTTAAATTACTTTGGATTCTTTGGATACTTTGCCTGCCGAGATTTGTTATTAAAAATAAATAATGAAGCTCGAGATGTCGAATAGCTTTTATTGCATGATTATGTTATAAATTAAATTATGGATTTATTGTTCTTAGCTTTTTAGCATTTACAATCATTTCTGTAGCCAACGATGCAGTCAAAGGCTCGATTGAAAGATAATGTTTCGCGCATCGTTCATTTAACTTTTCATTTTTCAATTTAAGATTCATTTACGCTCTCGCGTGTGTCTTTCGATTTTGAATACAGAGTAACTTCGATGCATGATTCTGCAACTTATCGTTGTCCAGAAAAGATGGACTCTGCAGACAGGTGTAAAGTCGATAAAGCAGTCGGGACTGAGCCACGAGAAGACCGCAAGGTACAATGTGCTACAGTAAATTCTCCATAATCGACGCTCAGCTTGGAAACAAAAATGTATTCGAGCCTCGATTATTCGATCCTCGCGGCTTATTTTTATAGTCGTTGACAATCGGCGACTTATAAAAACGAGTCATAAGGCTCGAATAATCGTATCTCCTCTTCTCAAAGTATTCAGTTTTCTTTATAAGCTGAAGGAAATTTGGTATTTCTAATTTACTGTACTTCTATACCTCGTCTGTGGCAATATTCATTTTTACAGCTATTTTTGTACTCATGCTACTATCATTTATCGAGTATCATCTGCGGGTACATTCATAAAACGACGAGGTTTCTCTACCAGCTTCGGCGTTTTATCACGGATGGTGCGACCTGCTTCAATTGCAGGCATTATTAATCAAATTGTTGTTAAATAATAATCTATCTTTACCATAGAATCATTTAAACTTCGTTAACCAACTTCGTTAGACGACACTGTCTGAGGATATTTGCGTAGTCCTGATATCTAAGGATATCATTAAATAATAATATATTAACACGTTCCGTGCCGAGCTTTTTTTACTCGAATCTTCACACTTTGATATTTTACTAAAACTTGATGTATTACGTGCAATTATTAATTCTCGTACACATAACAACGTAACAAAAACTTATCAACGCCCATTCTTGCGGTGGAAATTGATTCTTCGGTTCTAAATTTCTTGTAAACAATTTGTTGAGTTCACTAAGTAAACATGCAAGCGTGTACCATCGATGGTACACGTGGCACGGAACGTGTTAAATAATAACTTATTCATTATTCAATATCTAAATTTACTCAATATTTTCATTTCAAATTTATTGCCAACGATTTCCGGAATTTCTCGAGTGAATACAATGAAAATTATTCGCTCGATTCCGCGTTCTTCGAGTCCTCGATGAATTTCTTCAACAGCATCAACCCTTCGCCATTAGCTTTGCGATATCCCGGCGCGGACATCTTCATTTTCTCCATCCATCTAGTTACATTTGGGTAATCCACCGTGTCAAAGCCGAAAGCCTGCACGAAACGTATTCACATAGCTTTTAAAAATATGTTTTCTGCATTTTTAATCATTCGAGATTAAATTCGCTGTGTGTGCTTGAAATTTTGTTTACTTTACGTTCGTTTAATATTTTACCTCTGCCGTGGACACCGACGCAACCAATGCTAGATCGGCGATAGTAAAATACCGGCCTGCGGTGAAATCCTGCCCTTCGAGGAATATATTCAAAATTTCGAACGCTGCTTGTACTTTCGCGTGCAATTCTGGATCGTAATCGCCTGCTTTGCCGAATGCAACAGGGAACTGCAAACAAAATTGTTTATCATATCAAAATTATTATTTATATTATTATTATTATTATTATTATTATTATTATTATTATTATTATACTAAGATCTTTTTAGACATGATTTCGTCAAACAGAAGCATTTAACAGCTCTTGACCAGTGAATGAATTTTATTCAAGAAGCGAGTCTGTCAACGAGTCTGCCATTTCCACCTCAAAAAATGCAATTAGTCACGCGAAAATACTGCGCGGAAATTGATGACACGATTATAATTATTACAAGAATATTACCGACATTATTTATAGGTGTATCGATGCAATTACAAACGCGAGGGATTGTCAAGCAATATTATTCGCGACGTGTAACAAATCGCGGAAAGAATTCGCAAGCCGTCAAAGCAGAGTCGTTTCGAGCCGTTAATTGAAGTCCGCTGGACACAGCAATTCGGAAAATTACAGAATGTTCTGAAAACGTTGGAATACTTGCGTAGTAGTCAACTATGCTCTGGTAGAGAGTGCCGAGATCGAAATGCAATCGGTGATTGACCAAAGCCCGGCCGTTCGGCGTTTGCGGGTTCAATCTAGGGTTTTTCCCGTACTCGTCCACCAAGTATGACATGATCGCCCGGCTGCAACATGAACAGACCGAGAAATGAACCCGCGGAGCCCCGCGATTTCTCATTCCGTTTGACATTGTTTACGCCAAATGATTAAATAGCGTGCGACCCGGGAATCATTTATCACGGACCTCTCGGTGAGCTTAAAGTCGCCGTCCACAAGGAAAGGAACCGTTTTCTGTGGATTCATCTGTAACAGATTATTTCGAAATTTAGTTAATTACACCGCCGGGCCGCGGATCTGGTTCGTAATCTGTGTAACCGACACAGAGAAACGAACCGGAAAATATGGGAGTTCGGTCCACGGATTTCGGATTACGATAAATTCTGCCTAATCGACGGGCAGCAAATTGTAGCCAAAAATGGGCAATTTTCGAAGAGGAGATACGATTATGAAATAACCTTGCAGCTCGTTTTTATGATTACCGATTGTCAACAATTATAAGAAACGAAGCGCGAGGCTCGGATAACCGTATCTGCTCGTCCAAAATTATTCATTTTCGTGCACGAAAGCGCAAAAAGCGTCAATTAGGAAGAACGCGCCGAAATTCTTATCTCATCCGTTTTTCTAAAATTAATATTTGCCACCGGAGCTTATTAACAAATTGGCAACAGCGTTCACTGTGACATCGAATTCGCTTCTCTTCTCGCAAACAAATATTGTCCGCTGTAAAACCCTTCGCCATTCGCGCTCGGTCTGCGGCATCCTTCCCAGCGGAGACTTATTTGCAGAAACGTAGATTAAACAGAACGCGAGTGTCTGACATGAAAAAATTCTGTCAGGCGACACCGGAATGGCATCGCAACGTTTACGTTCGTCGTTAGCTCGCCGCGCAAATAATTGCCGAATTGAGGTGTCAATTTTAATTTGCCCGTACAAATACAAACACGAATTTCGCAATATTGCCGAGAAGAGGCGAGTCCTCCGGCGAATAAATTCTTCGTCGAACCGCGGATTTTATGCGTTTACGGGACAAATGGGTGAAGGAAGTGCGAAACTGTGAAAATAGCAGGAAGATTGGCGATTATTTTTGCTATTTTGCCGTTGTCGAAATCGTTGAGAAAGGTTATGCCAAGGTTATATTCATTTTATATAAAATGTGTTCACATTTTTATTGAGTCCGCACCTTTCGGAATCGATGTTAACAATATTGATAGATAATCGAACTTTTATTTCGCATAAAAATCTTCTATAAATCCTTTAAACGACGATAAATCGCGAGAAATCATCTTTTTATTAGTTCCTTTCATAGGAGACCCTTTGTCGCTAATAATGTTATAAATATATATAAATATATATAAATATATATAAATATATATAAATATGTATAAATATATATAAATATATATAAATATAAATGTTATAAAAAAATGTTATAAATTCGTCGACTGCGAATCTTTCGTTCGACGTTCAAACGTTGAAGAGACGCGATTATTTATTTGAAAACCGGGAATACGTAACCACGAGGTCCATATTCCGTAGATCATGCTGCGAACAACCATAACGAATCCGACAGAATTTTACAACGAGTTAATATTGAAAAGATTTAATCGGATCACGGTACGTTTTCGCTTCGCGGGGGAACGAACGAACATCGTGAAACATTGAAAGCGGAAAGCATTCGCAGAGATCGGTAGAAGCGAATTCGTGCGTTACACGCGGGCATAACGTACGAGCGTATACGAACAACGGTTCGTTCCGAGAAAGGTTACAGCGACGGGAAACCACAATTATTTGTTCACCGAGCCGATATTTCGCCGAGTCTTTCAGCGTCTTCGAATGCCACAACCGCATAAACGTTCGCCGTTGATTCACGTTTAACTTGCAATTCAGCCGCGCGCTCCTTTCACGATGGAATCCCGATAGAAACGAAACCTACAAAAATCTCTGTTTATACCAACCTGTTCATATTCCGGCTTCAAATGGTCGCCGGCCGTCAAATCGATTTCCTTCAGGTTTAAAGGGAAACCAATCGCTTCCGCGGTTAGAAGGACCGCTCTGCAAGGCGAACTCATTGGTGTGTAATATAAATCCACCGCCATTATTAGGACGAGAGACCCGTGGTACGGTTTCGTGAAACAGTCGCCGGATGCCCTGTGATCCGGAACGGGAATCCGAACATCAACAATACACCTGGCGAACAGCGTTCGAATACCTTTCAACGGCGCGGTAACTTCTTCGAAACTGATCTGTCCGACTCGAATAATTTTTTAAATCTTTCTTTAACCTTTTAGGTACGGCTGAATTCTGCTCGAGGCTATTTCCCTGGACGGCAGAGTCTGATGTGTACTGTACAGAGTCTGATACTGTATATACAGGGTGTACCAAAATGTCTCGCAATTCGAAAGTGGCGGGTTCCTCAGGCCATGTGTTGGTATTCAGCGTGGGAACTTGTTTGAGCTTGTATCAGGCGCTTCTAGTAAGTCGAAATATATAATAATTATATATAATAATTCCTACAGTAAATCGTTTTGCATATGTCTCGCCTTAGATCGTGCAGATTTCATGACAAACTTATACGAACCGTAAAGAATTTTAAATGTTGGAGGGCCGGAGAATCGAGGTTCCATTGTAGTAGTATACAGGTTGTCCCAAAATTATGGTATTTCCGGGAAATGATGGGTTCCTGAGGCGATTCGAAGCAACTTTTTCCTTTACAAAAATTTTCTCCGAGGCACCGTTAACGAGTTATTGACGAAAAACAGTGACAAATGAGAGGCGAGCTCAGCTGGCGCGAGGCGATCGAGCCAATGAGCGGAACTGGGCTTCGTGCGCTGGTTGGCTGGGCCGCCTCGCGTCAGCCGTACTCGATTCTTATTGGTCACTGTTTTTCGCTAATAACTCGTTAACGGTGCCTCGGAGAAAATTTTTGTAAAGGAAGAAGTTGCTTCAAATGATCCGAGGAATCCGCCATTTCCCGATTGCGAGACATTTTTGGGACACCCTGTAGACTGTTGTAAATCGATGTGAAGACAAAAGAAGTGTGAAACAATGCATATGAAGACGATTATTTGGTTCAAACGATGAGTGAGTGAGCTACTAGAGCAAGCCACTATAGTGGCGCGTCGTCCAGAGAGATGACATCCGCGAAAGCCACTATAGTGGCGTGTCGTTCTAAAAGATGATATCCGCGGAAGCTACACACGCGTTTCTCGTTTCGGCCAATCTTTTGTCGGCGCCGAGCATGGAACGAAAACTGAACAAATGAATTATCCTGCGAGCACGCGCATTCGTCTGTGCACATCGTATTTCCTTAATTACTTCCGAAGTTTAAAGGAACATTTTGGAAAATTTCGTGCGATTCAACGTGCGGTCTATTGTTTCGACGAATTTTTCGAAACGCGCGTATTTTATACGCGAAGCAACGTCGGTTTTTAAACGCGATTCGACCGTGAAAACAGGAGCGCGGAAATTCTTGGTATTCTTATTATTATACTGTTGTTCTACAATTTTTGATTTCCGCGTAGTACGTGAGAAATTCTGCAGACCCTGCCCCGGGACAGCGGATACTCCCCGAATCCATAAACATCGATTTTATTGAAAATTGTTCGAGACGAGAACGACGTAGTTCAAAGGGCTGACCGTAAAATATACCATTTGCCATTCCGTTCTACCATACTTTTCGACCTCGTTACTTTCGATTGAAACACATAAATCCATCGCGTACAATGAATTCATCTTAAACGAAATATATGCCAGCAATGTTAACAGGTTACATAGAAAATGTGAAATTAAAGATATTAATGCGTTTGTATGTTCAATTTTCAGTACCGAGGTATGCGAAGTATTTTATCGAACGAAGCACATTTTAGCACTGCGTTTCACAGAACTTTTGTTCGACGTTATCACAAGAATTATTTCTGCGAATAATTATGTTGACTTTAATGCGCGGAATTTTATTAGATCGCTGTTATTTCGTTCATATAAATAACAAGAAAAATAGTAGTAGTCTAATAACTACTACTATAATAAATAAATAACGAGAAAAATAGTAGTAATACCGTACTACTATAATAAATAAATAACAAGAAAAATAGTAGTAGTCTAATAACTACTACTATAATAAATAAATAACGAGAAAAATAGTAGTAATACCGTACTACTATAATAAATAAATAACAAGAAAAATAGTAGTAGTCTAATAACTACTACTATAATAAATAAATAACAAGAAAAATAGTAGTAGTCTAATAACTACTACTATAATAAATAATCAACACAAGAAAAATAGTAGTAGTCTAATAACTACTACTATAATAAATAAATAACAAGAAAAATAGTAGTACTCTAATAACTACTACTATAATAAATAAATAACGAGAAAAATAGTAATAGTCTAATAACCACTACAATAATAAATAAATAACAAGAAAAATCGTAGTAGTCTAATAACTACTACTGTAATAAATAAATAACAAGAAAAATAGTAGTAGTCTAATAACTACTACTGTAATAAATAAATAACAAGAAAAATAGTAGTAGTCTAATAACTACTACTGTAATAAATAAATAACAAGAAAAATAGTAGTAGTCTAATAACTACTACTATAATAAATAAATAACAAGAAAAATAGTAATAGTCTAATGCAGAATAATAACGAAAATTAATGCGAATAAAGCGAGTGTGATTCTTGTCATTATTTCACAACGAACGCAACGAGGAATATAATAGAAAAATGTGCGATTAGAAATATCGATTGAAGTTACGACTCGCACCCATTTCTACACCGGCCGTTTAGCAAACAATCGATACGTGAGAATAAAATATTGAATCAGGCCACTTGAAAGAAACTGCAATGTACTGTAGCTGCAATCTGGTAATCACAACCTTGGCTTTATTAAAGTATCAACTTCAATGAAAATTTCTATTTTATCTGGTGAAGAATTGACGCAAAGAAAAGAAGCGTTTGAAAGTGAAATGATTAAAAATCTTACAATTAACTTACAATTAACGATAGCGGACACGGCGGCGATTACGAGACGGGATTATAATTACGAAATTATAATTTTTCGTGGCGACAAAATGCGACACGTTCGCGCTGTTCCGCATTTGGAGTTGAACTACGGACAGACCTAACGTGACCTGATCGAGAGACCTTCAACGTTTCTGCTGATATATACAATAAACATGATCTATACCGTCGACACTATTCAATGTAGTAGTAGAGATAACATGGAGGGTGGGTCCACCCCGGTTACTATACTGTACGTCATTTTTCTTCGCCCTATACCGTGGGAGAATATTGTGCGGTAGCATACCTACGATATTCTGAAAGCAATTCGATATTGTCAGCCTCAAATAATACTTTTATCTTAAAAATTTCATATAGTTTCTTTGTTGCGCGTCGTACAATGGGAATGGCGAATAAAATTCTTGGTTAAAAAAGAGGGGAAGGTCAACTCATTGAATCTATGGTTATGTGAACATGTTGGTAATTCGATGATAATTATTATATTATATTATTATATGTTATTATACACATTATTATATTATTATTTTATATATATATTATATATATTATTATAATATTACTATATATATTATTATATTATTATTATATACATTATTATATTATTATTATATATATTATTATATTATTATTATACGTAGTACATATATTATGTTATAAAACAGTATATTGAATCAATTTATCTTAAACATCATTTTTAAACCAAAATTGTTGCTTTGCAAGTACAAAATTTTAGACGATGGCTTAAGAAAGATATTGTGCATATATGTCGAGATGCATAGTGCACATAATTATGGGATTAATAGCGTACGCGTGTATAAGATTAATAGTACACGTATTTCTAAAATTAGTAGTGTACATATCTCTAAAATTATCAATGCACGTATTTATGAGATTAATAATGTACATATTTATGATCACATAATCATTCCACCAGTTTTCTCGCTCATCGTCACGGTACGACGATATCATCTGTAAAAATAAAATTATAAATTCCAAAGTGAAATGGAGAATGGCATAATATAGGGGAAAATCGTGGCACAATAGGAACAATCCCAGATCGCGATGCAACGTTTAAAATAACGAAAGAGATTTCGTATCCAGGGAGAATCTCTTTTTTTTGTGGCTTCATAAAAAGGAGCGCGCCGATTAAAAGCTTGTGCATGCCGGGTATTCCGTGGGCAATTAAAACGCTTGTAAAACCAAGGATTCGAAGTAATTAGCAAATGAGCACCGAGTCAGAAAGACGACTATCGCCGAAGTAAATTGGCCGCATACCGAAGAACACAAGGCCGCTATAATTACAGGGTTAATTAGTTCGTAATCAATAGGAATTTCACTATTACGAGTCGTATGAGAGTTTTGCCTCGAGTAAAATCAAAACAGTTGTTCCTTACCGAAACGCTAATTTTTTCCAAATTCATCTCAAATCCAATTAAAGGATAGAATTTCGAACAATAAAATCACGATCGCGTTATTCTTTTTTTTTAAATTTGATTAGTAGTTGCCTTATATTTCACTTTTAGTGCATCACTTGTACAATTTTTTTTTGGTAATACATTTCATCTTATTCTCGAGTTAACCAGATTTAAGGTTATTTTTCAGTGGCTCTTTTTCTGCGATTCTCTTCTTACGATTAAAAACTTTTGTATGCTATTAATTTATATCATACTACGATTATACATTTGACCGCTGATCATTTGAGCACCGATCACTTGATCAGTGACCATTTGATCAGTGACCACTTGATTACTGATCACTTGATCACTGACCACTTGATTACTGACAACTTGATCACTGACCACTTGATCACTGACAACTTGATCACTGACAACTTGATCACTGACCACTTGATCACTGATCACTGATCACTTGACCACTTGATCACTTGATCACTTGATCACTGATCACTTATCACTGGTCACAGACCACTTGACTATATATCGATTAATCTTTGCACTCCCTTTAAAAAGTTATCAAGACACTCAGATCGAAAAAGTGTAGAACTTATGATTATTGTCCCGAACGCCCATAAGATCGCATCACCGCGCCATAAATAACCATCCCCGGTAATCTCCGCCGTGTACAAACTTCGTAGAAGAAAATCCGGCCGAAAATAGAGTCAGCAGATACGCCGATCTTCCCCGAAAAGTGCATAATTTCCGAGCGGCCCGGGGCGAACGAGAATCGCGGTCGATTCGTAGCCGTACGAAAACGGCATTTAACCCTGTGCACCGGGAACGATCGCTCCTCCGTTTTATTTTTTCGGCGGGCTGTTCGTCTTTGTCGCGTCACGCTCGCCGAAAAAAGGCGAATAAATGCGGCAGGATTAATGGCTCGGTCCCATCACGGTTCGTATAATATTCGCGTGCGCGATGAGTTATAGAGGGCACGCCCGAAGAAGTGCACACCGAAATGCACGCGGAATGGATAAGCGGGGGCGACACGAACGCTCTATTTGGAGGTGTATTTAAACTTCTGGGTGAGTCGGCCGCTTCCATTCCGCGCCGGCCCGATTGTGTATCGCATTAATAATTGTCGACTACGCGCACGTGAGGCCGTTGCACCCGGATCTATGAGCCGAGCGGTTCTCATTTGTCATAGGACGCTGAAGAACCTTCTGTTACATAAAAGATTCGCCGACTCTCTCGGCCGGTTACCTAATGCGCTCTGCAACGGGGACGCTAATTATCATTACCGCGCCGCGTTCTTTTCTCCTAATTTCTCCCTATGGTCGCCGATGATCCCGGGCTCGCAGGAAATCTTGGTTTGCCAGCGGATAGGGAGTTGCTGACCTCCTGGGGCCTGTGTTTGTTAACCCTTGACTTAGGTACACGAGATGTCTGACACGCCATGAATCTTTTCAAGCGAATGATAATGTGGCCACTCGATTAAGGGTCCCTGCGCTGAATAAGAACTGCTCCGCGTTAATTGCTAGCAACGGAGTCGAGTCGAAATTTATCGTATTCTATAATCAGCAAACGATAGATCGATGCTATTGAATCGTTTAACGTTCGCTGCATTTTTGTCCTCATTTTTGTCACAGACGCGTCGAATCTGCAGTCTAAAGTGGTTAAATGTTTTCGAAACGAGTTTTCAAGAAAATGCGTGCATTAACAAAGACGAACGGCCATCGGGTCCGGTGAAAGATAATTTTAATGAAGCCGCTGCTGTCGTTCGCACGAGGAAATAACCGTAGCGACTGTTCATTAACTCCGGTGTTAATAACTGAAACGACGACGAGTGCAACAGTTATAATTGTAACGCCCGGTAAAGCGATTATATATTTAGTTGCATATATACGTGCATACAAACGAGCCAAGTTCAATCTCCCGATGTGTGGCCGAAATTAATACTAATCAAAATGTATGGAATAAACGCGCCCCGCGTACCCTCGAAGAATTAAATTTGTATGTTGAAGTGTGAACTGTTTGCAGAGGTATTACAATAGATATGACCGTAGCGCAAATATACAACGTTAATTCACGCTCGATTTGTTTGTAATGATCATTTGTTGCGTAGAATAGTTCGGCGAATCATGTACACTCGAGATCGTCAAATGCGACGAGAGAGGCGTGTCGAACCACGAAATCTGTTTTCATAGTTTCCATAATGTTGCGACAAGGACACGCGCGTCTTCGTCCAAAGACGTATTGTTTATCGTGTAATTAATTTACATTTTATTCGGTATCGTACAAAATTCAAGTTTGCGACGTACAACTAAGCTTTTATCTTCGAGTGAAATTATGTTCTATATATGGGACGGTGATAAGAGAAGAGTGAGAATAGAACGTTCTGAAATCTTCTCGTTGCCACTGACAAGCGCAGATAGACGAGCTATCTTATCGGCGGGCTCCTCATTTCTGTGTCATCTGTGCAACGATCTTTTTGAACTCCGCCACACCGGCCCCGTTGGCTTCTTCGTATTTTGGCGCCGTTGTTTTCATTTTGGCGAGCCACCTGTTCACGTTCTTGTACTTGCTCAGGTCGTAGCCTAATGCCTGTCGCAAAAGTTAACGGGTTATCGGTTTATAATAACATCGATGCGACGCGTCGAATGTTCACTGTCTTTGAAAACTGTCGTCGCTGGACTGCGGATCTTTGCGCGAAATAAACATTGCTTTCGTTAACCGATTGACCGCTACAATCTCTTTGGAAAGTGTGTGTGCGAATCATTGTAATTATAAAATATATAATTTAATCAAAAATATCGAAGTATAGATCCTTTTCAACCAGTTAGCTGTTTCCGATGAGTATACTCGTCGAAAAAACATGGGAACATTTTGTGTCACGACGAGTATACTCGTCGCAAAGAAATGGTGGCATTTTCTGTCACAACGAGTATACTCGTCGCAAAGAAATGGCATCATTTTGTGTCACGACGAGTATACTCATCGCAAAGAAATGGCGATATTTTCTGTCACGACGAGTATATTCGTCGCAAAGAAATGGCAAGATCTTCTGTCACGACGAGTATACTCGTCGCAAAGAAATGGCGGCATTTTCTGTCACAACGAGTATACTCGTTGTAAAGAAATAGCAACATTTTGTGTCACGACGAGTATATTCGTCGCAAAGAAATGTCAAGATTTTCTGTCATGACGTGTATACTCGTTCTAAAGGAATGGCGATATTTTCTGTCACGACGAGTATACTCGTCAAACACCGCCAACACGGTCAATCGCAAACAATAAGGATTGAGTCACATTCTTTAATACTTTCATTACGATTGAAACAATATATCGATGTTCTTAAATGTTTCAAAATCTTTCCCGGTTTTATATTTTTCCTACTCATTTAGATAAAGAATTGCATTTAGGTCAGAATTGCACAAAATCCACAGTCTAGCAACCACCATAAGATCACGTTAATTTTCGTACTTCAATCATTTCGAAAGAACTTACGGTAAGCGTAGTAATGGTGGCGACCAGAGTTAAGTCAGCGACGGTCATGGTCTTTCCGGCAAAAAATTCATTATCCTCCAGGAACTTTTCGGCAAAAGTTAAAGCTGTTCCAATCGCTTCGAATTTCTGCTTGTCCGCGGGCGCTTTCGCGAAAAGCATGGGGTACTGCAACAGAGATATTATTATATTAATAAAGATTAATTTATCGTCTGAAACTACGGAAACGTAAATTGAACTAGTAAATGCACGTCATTACCGACAGCGTGGAGAGTAACTCTACTGTATATTTTTCTTGCGAAGTCTGCTTTTATGGAAGACAATTAGCGAGTGGCATACGTTTGTATGCCCACTCCCATGGCCTGATGTCAAGAGGCGCTTGCTCTTGCCTTCGACGATGGGAAAATTCTTACATCGTTGATAAAATTTCGTTTTCGCACTGCTAATAGTATCCGACTACTTCAATTAATTTAAATAAGATGATTGTCTCAGATACGTATCGAAACTAATTCGTAATTAAATATCTTAAAAAATAAAATCATGAAATAAAGAAGCTCAGAATTACTTTTAAAAAGCAGACAACTGGAGACAAACTATAGAATTAAAAAAGCAATAGACAAAACATGTACGTATTCAAATATTTTGGACTGACATATTCCCTTTAAAAAATGCAGAGATGCAATAGAAAAAGCATCGATACGTTCAAATATTTTAGACGAATTAATTGTTTAAAAGATTTACAGAGAAACAATAGACAGTAGACTAATACATCCAAATGTATACTTAATTATATAAAAAACGTTTGCAAAGGTACGTTATAAACGAAGACAAAATTTTCGTAAATTTCACGACGAATTAAAAGAAGAAGAAGAATTAATTTGAACAGCGACGCTTGAGATTATTCGCGTCAGATGAGATAAAGTCGGTTCAAAATTAATAACTCTATGCTGTTTTTTTTCTGTCCACTGGAATCGATACACGTTTAACTATCGAACAGACGTGTTTGTGTTATCTTCGAGACGCGGTGATAATTTACTTAGCGAATTGACGACTTACGTAATAATCGGCAAGCGATTTGTAGAGGGTGCAGGCGTCGAAGAACAGTCTCTGATTAATGACCGCGCGTTTCTTCGGATCCTTCGGGTATAATGAGTCATCCTTGGCATACTGTTCCACGAGGTACAACATAATAGCTCGGCTGCAAAAGAATGAATGAACCGTACAGTATTTATTCTTCTTCGTCTCATTGTCACACCTTTCTGACGCAATAAAATCTCCATTAAGGAACGGCGAGATCATTAAATGAGGAATGCCTCTGAGGAGCGTTAATTTGCGAGAAGGGAATACGAGATTTGATTTACGCTCTCGCCCAACGCAGGGGATCTTTGAACGTGGCATAGTCATTGTACGAATATAGACCATGAACAAATTTAGAACTATATACAGGGTGTCGCAAATACGTCTCGCAATCCGAAAATGATGGGTTCCTGAGATCGTTTGAAGTAACTTTTTCCTTAGCAAAAATGCAATCCGCGGCTTTGTTTACGAGTTATTAACGAAAGACACTGACCAATGAGAGGCGAGCTCGACTGGCGCTAGGCGGTGCGAGCCAATGAGCGCGCGAAGCCCAGTTCCGCTCATTGGCTCGGCCGTCTCGCGTCAGCTGATTTCGCCAGTCGAGCTCTCCTCTCATTGGTTAGCGTTTTTCGTTAATAACTCGTAAACGAAGCCGCGGATCGCATTTTCGCAAAGCAAAAAGTTACTTGAAATGACCTCAGGAACCTTCTATTTCCGGATTACGTGACATTTCTGGGACACCATAAATTTACAAAGGGGCTAATTATAAAATACTGGAAGTAAATATCGCATCTAAAATATTTAGATATTAAACATTCTAATTAAATGGTATAATTCATACTCCTTTGAAGTATAATTTATTCTGTTTCGCGTATCTGTATTCGCGTTCATTTATTATCGATTTTCAATGCGCATAAATGTTTGAAAAATTCAACATCACCACTCTATCATTTTCATAATTGCCTCGACGGTAACAAACCGAAACAATGTACGTCTTTGCATCAGCAAATTAGACGTTACCGCGGAATTAGACTCACCTTTCGCCCATGTAGAAGCCATTGTCGTCGATCGTGGGAATCGTGTGTTGGGGATTCATCTGCACGGAAAAGAATGTTAATTACACCGGTTACATTGCGCAACGCGGCACGGCCGCCATGGTAGACAGCGGTTTCATACAATCCGATGCTCTTACCTTCAAAAACTCGGGTTTCATCTGTTCGCCGGCCATCAAGTTCACTAATTTCGGGTTCAGCGGAACTCCGACTGCGGCAGCTGTCAGCGCAACAGCGCGGCACGGCCCGCTTCCGGGTGTGTGATAAAAATCGATCGTCATTTCTGGTTCTGCAACCAAACGTGAAATATTAGTACAGAACAGTTGAACCATCCAAATCAAGTTTTCTAGCAATTTATACGACGCATAGGCGTGCAAAAATTCCGGATTCGCCGGGCGAACATTTTTCTGCTAAAAAGCTAGGCACGTTTAGTCAAATTACAGTTCGCGTCTTAAATTGCGATTGCTGTCGCGATCGAGGTGAAATGTAATTCCAAATAAGCCGGTTGAGCTGCCAAAACAATCGTTTTCCGGTTCAATGTTCCTGCACCGATGTCTTCGGTGAAAAACCAAATCGTTCGCGTAATGTTTCGCGTATTACTTCGACGATTTGGCACGGACTAAGAAAAACGCGTACCGGCACGGTTGTGTCGTAACAGCGTGTCTAACCGTGAACGCAATTGGAAGATTGTAAGGCAATTGAAAACGAGCTTGCCAAGGACGTATACATGGTCGCATGCTTGATATTATCGTTTCTGAAATAAACCCGCTGGTGATCTTTGACCGCGAAATTGCTAATTAAGCTAAACGAATGTATACAACTAGTAACAGAACCGACTAAGCAGATGCTGTACTATGGAAACCATTATTCCTTATCGAAAAATACGCTTGTCGCAGTGGAATCACGTGACGCTTGTCGTTGTACAAGATAATATTAGTACTAGAAAATATTGGTAGCACAAAATGTTAGTGGTACAAAATATTAGTAGTACAAAATATTAGTACTGCAAAATATTAGGGCTACAAAATATTAGGGCTACAAAATATATTAGGGCTACAAAATATTATTACTATAATATATTATTCCTACAATATATCAGTGCTACAAGATATTAGTACTAGGACATATTAGTACTACAAAATATTAGTCAAATATTAGTACTACGAAATATTAGTGCTACAAAATATTAGTCAAATATTAGTACTACGAAATATTAGTGCTACAAAATATTAGTCAAATATTAGTACTACGAAATATTAGTGCTACAAAATATTAGCACAAAAAAATATTAGCACTAAAAAAATTAGTACTACAAAATATTAGTACTACAAAATATTAGTGCTATCAAATATTAGTACTAAGAAATATTAGTGCTACAAAATATTAGTACTACGAAATATTAGTGCTACAAAATATTAGTACCAAAAAATATTAGTATTACAAAACATTAGCACTAAAAAGAATTAGAATCACAAAATATTAGTATTACAAAATATTAGTACTAC